TGGTGGAGTGCCCCTGAGTTCAATCCCCGATACCAAAAATATAAACAAATAAAGAAAGAAAGAAGGCCAGGCCCGCACTGACCAAGGGAGGGATGGAGGAGAGGTGGCAGTGGCCCCAGGCAGGCTTCAGCCCATGTGTGGTGTCCAACAGCAGGTGMGCCCTGGGTTGCATTGACCTCGAGGGCTCTGTTCCTGGAGGCAGGCGGGCGGGATGGGGGCTGCTCAGCTTCTTCTTCCCCCTTATTATTTTTGCAGTGCTGGAGGTGGGATAGTGCCTCATGTATGCTAGGCACGTGCTCACCACAGAGCTACAGCCCCTCTGTGTGTGTGCGCGTGCGTGTGCATGTTTGTACGCACACGCACGCGCACACCAGGTTATTAAAAAGAGGCACCTATCTGGGCCGAGTGGCAAGTTCAAGGCCAGCCTAGGCAATTTAGTGAGACCCTGTATCAGAATAAAGRAGGGCTGGAGGTATAGCTCAGTGGTGGAGTGTTTGCCTCACAGACATAATGCCTTGGGCTCAATCTCAATRCTGGGGGGCGGGGAGAGAAAGACACCTGGTCAACCTCCAATACCAAGCCCCTCCTGTTCACCTCACCTGCCCCCTCATCATCTTGGTACTACAAAAATATATAGACATGTCTCTTAGTTTAAAAGTGCTAATAACAAGCAACATTGTTCTATAAATCAGGGATTCCTACACTTGATTACACATTGGAATAGTGGGCACTTTTTTTTTTTTTTTTTTTTTTTTTGGTACTGGAGATTGAACCCAGGGGCACTGAGCCACATCCCTACCCTTTTTTAATATATTATTTAGAGATAGAGTTTCGCTGAATTGCTAAGTGCCTCCCTAGCCTCGGCCTCCTGAGCTGCTGGGACTATAAACGTGCACCTCTGTGCCCAGCAGCCCCAGCCCTTTATGTTTTATTTTGCGATAGGGCCTTGCTAAATTACTCAGGGCCTTGCTAATTTGCTGATGCTRGCCTTKAACCTGTGATCCTCCTGCCTCAGCCTCCTGAGAGTTGCTGGGATTACAGAAGAGGGCATTTGTGCCCAGCTGAAAAAGAAGCTTAGAGAAGGATTCATCAAGTTGGTCTAATAACACAGAAAGGTCAAGCAATGCCAGAGAGGTCTCAGTAGAACAAGAAATAAAGAGAAAGAGAAAACACAGGCCATTTTTTACATTTTCATGGCGCATCAAAGCTGTTGTGCCACAACTTGATCCTGGCGGGAAGAATTACTATCAAACTCACTCAGATGGGTGTTGGCGAAAACTTGCCCCTCCTGTGGCATGCTGCCCCCACTTGTGAGTTCCCTGGCACTTGATCTTCCTTCCTCTCGAATTGCCAGCAGCCCTGTGTTGGGGAGATACCCTGCTCACAACAAGTGTTCGGGGGTGCCTTCCTCTGGTCTTGACATGATTTTCTGTCCAGGGAGTGAATCACAGACAGCTAGGCAGGGTCCCTGGGTTCAGGACCTCCTGGGCTTCCTGCCTGGGAGAGCAGCCTGCTCTTGGGGCAGTGGCCCATCACTCCTGACGTCAAATCTGCTTCAATKAATGGGTTTCCTTTTCCGTTTGGGAACTCAAAGTATCTGTCATCCGTCCCATCAACCTCTCCTTCTCACCCGGGTACCTCCTGTTTGGGAAGGAGTAGCTGGAATAACGAGAAGGTGGTGGGTGGGGGCAGGAGAATGGGCAGGACTCTGTGGATGGGCCCCCTGGTTGTGGGAGGTGAGGTGGGGGGTGGTGTCAGAAGAAGATGTCTCCTCATCGGGGTCCTCAAGGTGTGCATCCAGAGCCCTCGTCAGTGGTAGTAGTATCTGCCCCAGATCATGAGCCCTCCAAGTAGCTTTGGGACACAAGRATGCTCCCAGGTAGGCTCTCTGGCCCCTTGTTATCTGGGAGAGTCTTATCTCCTCAACTAACAAGTGGATTAGCCCAGGTGAGAACCTCCCTGTAGAAAGAATGTGTGTGCTGTCACCCTGTAAATGGAAGCATTTAAAGATTGCTTAATCTCCAGAAGCCATTGTTTAAGATTTTTGCAAGTTCCTGGACTAAGTCAGGGTGGCTTCCCTCTGGTTGTGGCTCAGCCAGTTTCCAAACAGAACAGCCTTGAAGGCCAGGGGCTCTCAGCATGTGGCTTCAGGAGGGACTGTGCCACCCCCCCCACCCCCCCACCCCCCATTGTTTATCCTTCATGTAAACACGGATGAGTACAACTTGCCATGCCATCAATCTCACTGTCTGTTTCTGCAACTTATTTTAGATGGGAAATTCCCAGAGAGATGGTGCTCTGCCTTCAATACCTCACACAGCAAAGAACCACACACGAGAAGCAGCTCTGAGCTCTTTTCAGGATGGATAGGTGGTTAGGGTGCTCCTGAGGTCCACATGGTGCCCTCTCCTGAGTGGGATGGTGCGGCCATGCGGAAGATGCTTAGGAGTGCCTGCCGGGCACTGTGCAAAGAGGAAACATGCCGTGGATGGTCTCATCCTAGTTACTGGAAGTTAGGAAATTTCATGATTCACCATTTCTTTCTATTTTCTTTTCTTTGGTGATACTTTGGATGGAATCCAGGGCTTCATGMATGCTAGGCAAGCACTATATTCCTGGCCCTTTAAATTTTTTCTTTTATTATTTTTAAAATCAACCAATTATCATTATTTTTTAAAATTTATTTTTTAGTTGTAGTTGGACACTCTACCTTTATTTATTTTTATGT